GCACACGTTCAATTAACGACTCGAGCTAAAGTGTGGCCGATAAACTGAACGTTTCCAAATCGTTACTTTATAATGTATTTCACTTCTGATTGAGTTGCTGTTATGATCAATAAAATTAATGAAATCTATTAAATTGCGTTGCTGTAAAACTATTTAATCTAATAAATTAGTTTATAATAATTACATGATTTTATCTGTCATTAGTAAGCTTTAAGCTCATTAGTTCAATATTAAAGTACAATTGTAATATATACTCTGTTGAAGTTTTATACGTCCTACTAATAGATATTTCTAATACTGCACAATTTAGTATGTCTTATCGCTATTTCGTTAGAGACGGTGCCATAAACTACATTAAAGGCTATATAACATCATTATTAGAAGAACAGAACCACCGTAAAAGGAGTTGGAACTCAAAAGCCCCTTATGTGATAACAAAACGATAATGGAAAAAGAGGCTAACTTTTTCTTAAATTTTATTTTGACAAATTAAAATTTAGTCATCGATATTTTTAATTTTATGTTAGTCGTTCTATTCAACGAATGGTTTTTTGGATAGGCTATTCGTAAAATTGAAAAGTTCGTTAAATCGCATAGATGAACAAAAAAGTATATTTTAAGTAGCTTAGTTATTACGTTTCCAAAATTATTTCCTGAAAAACTTATAGCGATTTCGATTGTTAAATCTGGATTTAGACTAGATGTGTATTCAATCTGTCAAATTTTGTAGCCCAATTGAACATTTTTAGAGTAAGCTAATATTTTTTTAGCAGTTTTAGTAGACATTTATATTTTTCATACATACATATATCGAATCAAATCACACTTCATCTGTCAAATCATATAAAACAGCTGTTAATTTCAGGGAAATCTTGCTACTCTGGCAAAATATCTGGAGTGTTATAAAATAATATCGAGTGATGTACATTTTGCCCCATATTAACCAAGTGCATTAAAAGATCGTCTTAATTGAGAAAATTACCCCAGATTTATCAATCGAAAACGTCGTTTCTTGTTAATCTCTATTGATTCTTTATATGGTTTCACTTGCAAACCCTCTAAACTGAGTCTATTGTAATATATAAAACATGTATTAGAATATTTTTGTAATGATATATGTAATGATCAAAGATCATAGATATTTGGGAATATTAAAGATAACTATATTGTACAACAAAAAATTATTTAATTAAGTAAATTATGGCTGCAAGCTTTATTATATTTACTACATGTTTCTCTAATGATATCAAATCTTCTGTTTTTCCTTTGGCTGATAAGAAGTGTGTCAGTGACTAATACACTTCCACTCAATAGTGTCTGTGATCACTAGTGTGATCCATTGTAAGAAGTGATCCATTGAATTCTGTTTATAAGTGATTCATGTTATTTTACAGATTGATTAACAAAGCATAATTTTTGAATTACTGTGAGCATCCACAGTATCATAGAATTTCAGCATTCTGTGTTTGTTGTACTCTTTTACATTGATTCCTGATCTCGATTATCTATTCTCTATTCTCAAGAAGTTTATTTTCACTATTGATATATTATGGAGCATTTAACATAAGTATTTATACAATATACTGATAAGACAGCACTGGCGTAAGACAAACTATAGAAAGCAGTTTAGATTTAATTACTTTCAAACCAGAGTTCTAATTTCACGCTCAACTTTTCTTGGATTATTGATTTCATTCTGAGTTCTACTATGTTTTCTAGACAAGTGTATCTCCATCAAAAGCTAGATCTGAACTTTTTATATTACTTTCTTATTTTATTTTCACATTATTGATTTTAATTTAATATTTTTATAAAAATGGCTTAAAGCAAAAAGTGCTTATATAGGAGAAAAATCCTTTACTTATTTTACTGAAAACTTGCTCTGATCAATCGAATTTGCAACAAGTAAGAACTAAGTTAACACTTTCATTTCACTTATGCATGCATTCAGTACTCAAATTTGTTTAAATATGTAGAAAATATATTTTATTTATAATATTTGTAATTGGTTAATGTTATATGCATAGTTTTCCACTCCAACGGTCTTCAGTTAATTTAAAATAAATTAATTTTTTCAAATTATAATAATTAAAAAAAATATTTGAAATTTAAAATTATAAATGATTATAAATGATTAGCAGAATCATAATATAACAAAGAGGGCAAAATATTGCCTTAAGGAGCTCCTTATTGCCTTAAGGAGCGGATATCCACAGAGATCTGAGAGCCGATTCAGTCGAAAAATACATTAAAGATCGTGCTCTGAAACTGTTCAATATAATTGACAGTCCAATAATCCAACACTCAGCATCCTAAAAATACAGCGAAATTTGATAAACACAGCCAGATACAAAGATATCAGATCCATCATATTATAAAGCCCCGTATTCAGTTATTCTTAGTGTGACTAAAAACTGTCCACAGATAAAATAGAGTAAAGGTGCTGATTTACCAACTCAAACATCTGAATATCAATTTATATTAGATATTGCTCACACTAATGTTATTTCACAGAATTAGAAATTCAGAGTTAAAGAAAACAAGTATATATAGTAGTTCTTGATTATTTGAACCATGAAAGAAGGTTCCTATATAATTTTAATAAAATAAGATATTTTTGACAATAGCGAATAGTAGTGCAAATATTCCAGGAGGCAGTAACAAATTATATTGAATTTTCTACTTCATATATCTGTGTACTCTCGAATAGTTCAAAAGAGTGGTGAAATGGTGGAGACAAGAAGTACTCACAGGAGTATAAAGCAAAATCATGTGCTCTTCAAGGGTTTCTGCAATAATTTAATTCTATATGTTAAAATACTGAGATAAGTATTTTAATATATTAGCAAAATTTTAATTTAATCTTACATTCTCTACATTTTCTTCAAATAATTTTTTTGTGATTCACATTTTTCTGGTTAAATTTACAAAGAATTTTGACGAAAACTCTCGAAATTTTATATTATTATGTATTATTATTGTTTATTATTATAATAAACGTTGAAGTTAATGAAAATACAAGTTAGAACACACAAGACAAGTTGAACCGATTTTTTTGATCTTTTAGAGCAAGTCTTACAAGAAGCTTCTTTTGGCAGATCTAAACATTAAAAAATACACTGAATAAATAAATAAATATAATATAATAATAATATAATATATATAATATATAATAAATACTGGATTTAGGCAAAAAATTATTCGATA